AAATACAATTACAATTTATTCATTACAGTCCATAAAGTCATAGCCTCCATACAACTGGCCACTTATTCAAAGTCATTTTTTTTCCTTATTTGAAGAATATTTCCACCTTTATCTTGGTTTCTTTAATTAGTTTTTAATCACAAACTTCAGCAAAAGAAAAAAGTGCTCCAGCCAAAAAATAGTGTAATTTTATTCTCCAAAAGCTACATGCAAGGGGGGGACACAAAATCCAGCTTGCCCCTGGATCTGGCCCCTGAGGCTCAGGGCTCCCCTCCAGCACTGGGGAGCTAGCGCTGGCACTTAAGCTCCACTGCCACCCCACCGTGTGACTGGATGCCATAAAATCTAATAGCCTGCTCCTGCCCCCCTTAGGATCTGGTGTGTGAGGAGATAGACACTCTTCACTTTCTCCTTCTTGGTCAGGGGCCACATCAGTGAGGGTTTTTTTGTTGTTTTTATTTTTAACTTATCACTTGTGTGTGGCTGATTTTTCTGTGGGTAGGTGGCCCCCCAACCCAAAAAAAGTTCCTCATCCCTGCTTTAGGTAAACAAAGTGATGCAGTCCCACTAGAGCAGTGGACCCCAATCTTTCGTGGCTGCCGGGCTTCCAGGGACGGGGCCACTCATGTGCCGCGCTTCCGGGGGTGGGGCCACACATGTGCCACACGCCTAGGGCAGGAGCCACCCACGTGCCCTGAGCCCAAGGCCGACACCACACATGTGCCGCGCGTTGGGGGTGGGGCCAGCCCAGATGTTTTGGCGGGCGCCATGGCGTCCACGGGCACCACATTGGGGACCACTGCACTAGAGGCTTTCCTAAAGAAACACTGCTTTAGTCAAACAAGTTATGGAATTTCAAACAGATAACTGGGCAAAATATAAATGGCCCCTGCCACACAGGAGGTCAAACTAGATGTCTTATGGGCTCTTTTGACTTTAAAATTCTGTCAATACATACATTAGTATTTGCAGGATCAGGACCCCAAGAGAATAATTTTTAAAAAGACTAGTTGCTTTTAGCAAAATCACCCAAGATAAGAAAAAGTGAAAGATAAGAATAATTGAGCAAGCTCCAGCCCAAGCCTACCGTCCAGTTAAATTAAATTGACCTAATAAGTGGACAGCTAGGTCCAGTACTGTCCTACTTGTGTGTTTTTACTAGCAGGAAATCATTGGAGAACCAAGGAAGATCTCTCTGCTGCAGAAACATCACTTCAACTAGGAGTTAAGCCACCTAAAGAACCGATGGCAATAGTGTTTAATGCCAAGGAATGGCAAAATGGGGATGAATCACTTGTAAGTAATATGGCACTGATGGAAATTGTATCGGTTATTTAAATTATATTTCATTATTGTAATACAGGTTGAACCTCTAAAATCTGGGATTCTAGGATCAAAGAGCTCCAGCTGACCAGGTTCGGGGCTACACTGATGGTGGGGAGTGTGGGGCTTCATGTTATTCATGCCAATAATTCCACTAACTTCAGTGGGGTAACAAGTCATAGTTAAAGAAAACCTGACTTGCCCCAAAGATAGGCAAATACTTGAACTATTTTCCATTTTCAATCATCAGACTAACAAACTAGGACAGCACACATGGGAAACAATCACTTGCTCAATGTACACCAGTTCTTTACACTGAAAAAAATACTCACTTGGATTTTCTTCCCTCTCTACCAGTCTCTGTCGTGTATGCATTTTGATGATGGCATTAACTTTTTGTCTATTTTTGTTGATGTTGGGTTCTATCATTATTTCTGTTAGTTTAATGTTATTCTTGATAGCTTTTGAAGCTGTTGACCTGGCAACCATTGGTAACTGCTCTTGATAATAGTAGTCTGTAAAGTCAACCTCATCCTGTATATTTTTAATTCTGGGGGGAAGGGAAGAAAAAAAGCAAATGTTAATGAGTCAATTACATTACTACTAATAAATACACAACACATTATTATGCTCAACTTTTTTTGAAGTATGGACCATTCTTAAGAGAGTGTCTTCTGTGGGCCACCTTCATTCACATTCCTAATCATAATTGTGTGACATATTCAAGTCACAATTGGAGCCAGAGAGCAGCAGGAGCTTTCTACAGCTGTCTATCTTGGGGGAGCTGAACATGCAGACCCCTGCTGATGCAAGTTACTTCACTCAAGTAATCATTAGACTAGAGCTGTTCACATGCACATGTAAAACATATATGAATGGTTAACTGTCCAGATAATACTATGTGCTTTGAAAGCTTTAATATACAACACTATGTACATCACCATCAAAGGAACAACTTTGCTTTTTCAATTAATGAATTAGAGCAAAAAAACTGGTATTCTTTGTGATGCGGGTAAAGATTCACAAGGGATTTAAATATTTTATGTGTGAAGTAGGCATCAGATGACCCTGGCCCTACTGAAGTCAAAACTCAGCTGACTAGATGAATATTTGAAAAATGATGAGTAACATTTACTCATTTACATGCTAAAAAAATGAATCATTTATATTGTCTAGTAAACCTTATACGTAATAAATACACTTCTGTAAACAGCACTCACTGTCTATTTGTCAGCATTGAGTAGATGTCTTGTACCAAAATTTCTGCTGCTCCTGGTTTACAGTGAATGGTCCCATCTATTAGTTCTTGGACAGGCTTCAATTTTTGTTTGGAAAAAAACTATAACAAAAAATAAAAACTGAGAGCATTTTAATTCCTAGTACTTGACAGGCATAAGTCCATCCTTCCATGCTTTTTATGTGATGTGTGACTGATCACTTGTTTTCTCTCTGCCCCTTTCCAATACAGTCTCACACTAAAGAAATTATGCAAAACAAGGCGTGAGAACTGAAATATAAACTGAACAAAAATTCAAATTTGTTGTTTTCAAAACAATTTAACCTCCCGCCACCCATTGCTACCTATGAGATGCATTTGTTAACTGTACAAAAACTGGTGAAGCCAAGACTTTCATGAGAGCAGTAGGGATGTGAAGGAATACAGGACAGGATAGTTGACTAGTCGCCCCCTCCAAAGAGGAAGCAAGGGGGAGGGGGTACTTCAAAGTGGTAGGGCTGCTTGAAGCCTGGGGCCAGACCCGGGCTCCATGCTGCACTGCTGCCTTGAAACGCCATGTGCAGCCCAGGGCCAGCTAGGGTGACCTCAGACTGTATGTGGCATTGCAAAATGGCAGCACCAGGTGGAGCCCAGGATCAGCTGGGGACTCCACTTCAGAGGTGGAGGCTCCCTATGGAATAATCAATGCAAAATGCATCAACTATTGGATTAGTCAATTAGTTGCTATTTAACACCCTTAGTGAGCACTAACCTCATTATTCACATGGCAGATGCTAGGAACAAATCGCTGGGCTTGGCCAGAGCCAGGGGAGTCTGCAGGTAGCAAGGGGGCTGCCCCAGACCAGAGCCGCGGCCGGGCTCTTGCGCCGCGCCCCCCGCCGGCTCCCTCACCTGGGCGAGCTGGGACCAGTTGCTGAGCTTGGTGGCCAGCGAGGCGCCGTTCTCGTAGCTGTGGCTGTGGATGTCGGCGGGGTAGTACCACGAGAAGATCTCGGCGATGAGGTAGCCGTTGGAGAAGTCCCTGCCGAACAACGACAGTAACGGTGAGGCCGAGGGTGGCGCGCGCGGGGCAGCGCCCGGTTCGCCCCCGCCCCCTCTCACCGTCGGAAGTTCCTAGGGAAGAAGCTCAGGTCCAGGCTTTGCAGCCACCTGAGCACGGCGCGAGGCAGCCCCGTGCGCCTGGGCGGGTGCGGGTACGACATGGGGGCGCGCGGGCTGGGACGCTCAGACAACTGCACGAGTCGGAATAGGTTACCTAGCAACCGCCACAAACCATGGAAGTAGGCGGGGACTCATTCGATTCTGCTCACTCGGCAAGTCACGAGTGGTAATTGCCCGAGTGCGCCTGCGCAGCGCTAGCAGTTGAGTGCCTGTGGGCTGCCTGAGGTGAGCGTTCTCCTGGGTGAGGCGGGCGCAGCACCACACAGCTACTTGGGGTGGCGCCAGTGTCCCAGCTGTGAGTCTCCCCCCCAGCAGCGTCCCTCGGGACAGACAAGAGCTCGCCCCCCCTATCGGGGCTGCTTCGTGGTAGCCTCCCCCGCCCCCTTCCCCTGCTGCCTCTGATGGGGGGGGATTAAACTGACTCCCCCCAGAACTGGCTGCTGCCCCCCCAATCGCCTCTGATACAGAGGTAGCAAGGTGGGGGGGATGTGGATGAGATTAACCGTTAAATCCAGGTATATTGGTTAATGGTATAATCCGCTACACGCTGACATCCCTAAACTCAACTGCACAAATGTAGTAGATGGAAGAAGAAACATGTGGTCATGCTTTTTGGATTCAGAAAAAGCATTGGATATCTTGAAACCCATGTCCGGGACTGCCAGGGCAGTTGCAATCTGCTCCATTTCATCCAAAATAAGTGAAGTCCTCATTGTAAACAGAGGGAAGCAACACCGAACTGTTTAGAATTGGTCAGTACCCTGACCATCCCTGCTCCTGAAACAGCTGAATTTTCCTAATCCCAAATATACACTCATACTGACTTGTATGCTTATTTCACTCCTATATTCCTGCAGTTAGTTCTTAACATGGTATCATAGAATAATTTGAATTCTTTAAATTTATACACACACACATATAAAGAGGAGTATTAGGATTTTTTAAAATAATTTTTAAGTTATTATTTTTCTTTCAGGAAACAGTTATTTTCACTATTCTCTTTTATACATAGCTTGGAAAGACTTTTCCTAGTACATTAGCAGACATAGATTCATGTTGCAGTTCATGCTTGTTTGATGGAATATCTGTTTTGTCTCATTTCCTGTAATTTGCATATCCCATCAAAGTTGTCATTTGCAGGAGAAAATTATTCCACATAGATTTGGATTTATGTTTTTACATTCTTGAATTTATTCCACTATACAAATAATAAAGTAGCAAAAGAAAATGTATTTTACAGATTATTTAGCTGTATTGCATTGAACTGTTGAACTCATTGATTTTTTTTCATTCAATAGCTTCTCTCATGAAGTATCTCAGCAGGTGTTTATTTTCTGTTAGAGAAGCTTCCAAAAACCACAGCTGGTGGATCAGGACACTTGCACAAATGCAAGAAAAATAAGCAATGTCAGGATGTCTAGAAATCCAAGTAGTATTTAAAGATTTAGTTCTAGATCCTCAAAGGATTTTAGGCATCTATCTTCTTTTAGGAACCTAAGTTCACAATTTAAACTCCATGGCTACGTCTAGACTACATCCCTTTTTCATAAAAGGGATGTAAATTAGACGTATCGCAATTGCTAATGAAGTGGGGATTTAAATCCCCCCCTCTTCATTAGCATAAAAATGGCTGCCGCTTTTTTTCGGCATGGAGCTTTGCCGGAGAAAAGCACCAGTCTAGACGTTAATCTTGTGGAAAATAAAGCCTTTTCCGAAAGATCCCTTATCCCTTATTTCAAAGAGGGATAAGGGATCTTTTGGAAAAGGCTTTATTTTCTGCAAGATCAGTGTCTAGACTGGCACTTTTTTCTGACAAAGCTCCATGCGGGGAAAAAAAGCGGCAGCCATTTTTATGCTAATGAAGCAGGGGAGATTTAAATCCCCGCTTCATTAGCAATTGCGATACGTCTAATTTACATCCCTTTTATAAAAAAGGGATGTAGTCTAGACGTAGCCCACTAGTATTATCAATACTACTGCTCATTTGCCATTTACTACAAAGTGAATCTAAGAAATCCTTAAAATACTTGAAATCCTGTCAGTCTGCATACACAAAGACTTCTTCCAACAGCTAGGCTACGTCTACACTGGCCCCTTTTCCAAAAGGGGCATGCTAATTTTAAACTTCAGATTAGGGAAATCCAGGGGGGATTTAAATATCCCCCGCGGGATTTAAATAAAGATGTCCGCCGCTTTTTTCCGGCTTTTAGATAAGCCGGAAAAAAGCATCTAGACTGGCCCGATCCTCCGGAATAAAGCCCTATTCCGGAGGATCTCTTATTCCTTTGAAGTAGGAATAAGAGATCCTCCGGAATAGGGCTTTATTCCGGAGGATCGGGCCAGTCTAGATGCTTTTTTCCGGCTTATCTACAAGCCGGAAAAAAGCGGTGGACATCTTTATTTAAATCCCGCGGGGGATATTTAAATCCCCCGCGGATTTCCCTATTCTGAAGTTTAAATTAGCATGCCCCTTTCGGAAAAGGGGCCAGTGTAGACGTAGCCCTAATGAGCAGCTCAGAGCTCTAGCTCAAACTGAAGCACAAAATACCCTGAAATGGGATTCTCACTCTAGGCTGGGGAATGCCTGTATCATTAGCAGGGCCCCATCCTGTATTGTTGGTCTAATTTTGCCTATACAGGGTGTCCCCACTATTAGTTGCCCCCGTATACATCCGTTCCACACTAAAGTCATTGACGTTTGTAGGAACTGATGCATTATAAGTCCTTCCATTCCCCACTATAAGTCATGCAAAACATTCCCCTCTCCCCCCAATTTGCTTAAATGGAAGTCAGCTGCGGGGGAAAAATTCCCCGCTTTAAGTTGTTTCACTCTAAGTCTGAGTTTTTTTTAACCTAGGTTGGATTTAAAGTGAGGAGGGCCTGTACTTGACCCTGTCAAGCTCTAGTCACCAATGGGAAACAGCACAGCATCCACACAGAAGATGGCCAGGGACACAGGGAAAGAAGTATCAAGAGTGATCCGAAGAGAGAGAGGATTTTAGGCTTCTATGGCATGGACTACATGAGCAACAAGTAACCTGGCTTAGGTACCTAATTCCAGGGAAGGGTTACTTGCTGAGGATTCCTAGTGGAAAAAAGTACCTCTCTGTGGCTTGTCACCGAGGCTGTGTCTAGACTGCAGGCTTTTTTTTTTGGAAGAAGGTTTTCCAGAAGAGATCTTCCGGAAAAACTTATTTTGAAAGTGTCCACACAGCGAAAGCACCACAAAAAAGCAATGTACTTTTTTGAAAGATAGCATCCAATGAATGTGGACACTATCGCGCATTTAAGTTCTGATTGCTTGGAGGGAAGCTTCTTCTTTCGGAAAAAAAAAACCCCTCTGAGAGGGGCCAGGTCAAGCTGTGCTGGACCAGCTTTCTCCCCAGCCTCTGGGAAGAAGAGGGGAAGGTTAGGCCATAGGCAGCCCCAGACCTCCTTGTGGGCCCTGGGAAAGGCCATGCTGGGAGTGGGCAGGGCTTGTTCCTGAGAATGCAGAGTGATGTGATGACATCTCTCTGTCATTCCACAGGAAATTTTTACATATATATAAAAGAGACTTGTATCCATATGAAATACAATATAAATATGCTTGGAAATATCAGATTTTTATCAGTAAATGGCAATTTTACCATACCCATAGAGAATCCCCAGAATATTTTGATTGATAATAATCCAAATTTACACATAGTAAGAAAAATGCTGCTTACAGTTTAATTTAAGGATATTTATTTGTGTATTTTGACATGATGTTGACAGATTGCGTTTTAACAGATATATAGTTTTAACACTTTTAATCTGAAGTCTGTCATTAAATTGTTTGACCCACCTATTTTCCCATAAATGTAAAAATTTGAATTAATAAAAATAATGAGCTTGAAAATAAACATCACTATTATCAGTCAAGCCAAGCCTAAATACAAAGATTTTGAAAGAATAAGAGCAAAGCAGTTCAGCTGACACCTGTTCTAATAAATGTGGAATAATGTTTTCACAGTTATTCCATAGTTTAATGTGGCATCCTTCCACAACCTTTGCTATGTAAAGAGAATCTATTTTGCAAGTTCTGAATTTTTTTACTGCAGTGTTTGGATTGTTTGCAAATTATCTCACTAGATTCCCGAAGTTAGTTCTGCTGAAGACACAGTTCTGCTGGAGATTAAATTAACATATATATCATAGACTGCCTAATACAGTGGAAATAGTCTGCACATTCTTAAACTCCAAAATAGTCCCCCAAGATTCTGTACTTCTGCAGTTTAAAATCTAGGCACGGTAGCCCACCCAAAAAGGAACAAATAGTTTTCTGTAATTTTATGTGCTACATTTAATGGGGGGAACAAGTGATGTTTCTACTCATTTATCATATTCCTTCATGTTTCTTGTGATGAATATGTTCTACCACAAGAGAATTAGCATATAAGTAATGGAACACATTTCGATTTAATTACACCAATGTAAGCCTTGAATAACTACCAAAGTCAATTATGTTACTCTGGACTTATACTTGTGTAAATGAGATCAAAATCCAGACCATCTTTTTGTCATATATATGCAGTCCTTCCCATTTAAATCTTTCTTGATTGTACAGCCAGACTTTTAAAAATAGTTAAATAAGAAAACTGTTAAAATACAAGGTGCAGTTTACTTTTGTTGTCTGATCTTGGACCCTGGGAAAATGTTTAGATTTCTTTTCCTTTGTCGTGATCATGAGGGCTAGCCAGCAGCCTGGGGATTAAGGGGTTAACTATGTCCCTTACCTGAGCCAGGTAGAGTCCATCTAATAGGAATGTAAATAGGATTTTCAAACTGGGACAAAGGAATTTTGGGGGTTTTCTCTCCTTTGTCCTTGGGCAGTTTTTTTGCTCTCCAGCTAATGAGGGGAACAGACAGAATGTCTCCCTCCAAGAAGAGACTCTTCACTATCTGCAAGTAGGGTAAAGTTTAGATAAATCTGTTAGGTATTATTGTTTCATGGTTTGGGAGATGGGATCTGATGTCTGCGCATTTAAAATAATGGGTTTTTGCTCTCTTTTTTAATTAAGTCCTGGCCCATGGGGGGTCCCCCCCCCCCATGAGTATATTAATTTGTGACTTTTCCATCTAGTCATTATGCTTGCAACAGGAATATTGTGGTGATAATAAAAGTTCTTCGATTTGTGTGTCCCCGTGGGTGCTCCACCAAAGGTGTCAGGCTCGTTCTAGTGCTGCAGCTCGGAGAGTTTTCTCTAGCAGTAGCCCCTGGTAGACTGCGCATGCACAGAAGCCATCTCGCCCCATTCGTGCCTTTTCTGCATCACGCGGTCCTTCCTGCCAGTTCCTCCTAACTGTCCATGGTCGCGGATGGAGTTGGAACAAACTCCTACCTCTGCCCTGAGGAGAAGCCTAGAATAGCAATTAGATTATCTTTTTCGTCCCACTTCAGCCCCTACCCTTTAGTTATAGTAGAATTACAGTTCTAGTTAGTTTGTTGTATCTAAAAAAAAAAAAGTTCTCTCGTTGTACATAGTTGTCCGTCAGCCAACCAACCCCCCTTTTTAGCCTTCCTCAGTCATCATGCCAGGCTCCCCCGTGTTCAAGAAGTGTGCCTCATGCGGGGACGCCATGCCAGTGTCGGATGGCCATTCCTGGTGTAAAAGTACACTCATTGCTCAAAGTTACCCGCCCACACCAGACGGGACAGGGAAATGTGGCTGAAGATGCTGCTGTTCAATAAAGCACTTCAGCCGCCATCTACGGGACATACAATGGATGCTCCTGGAGCGCGTAAGTCCCACGATGGAAAGAGCTCCACTCCATCTAGGAGTGTAAGTGCAGGAGATGCACTGAGCACATCGGCTCTGCCGCCTAGGCACACTGTGGCAAAACCATCTAAAGCCCACAGCACTTCGGTGCCTAGTCCCACGATTTCCTCCGCGCTGGTGTCGGAGTTGTGCACGGCACCGTGCCTGGAATCGGCACCGTCTAAAGTAGTACAGGCTCTGGCGGCACCGAGAGCCAAAGCGGCACCGTCTCTGGCACCGAGGGTTGAAGCAGCAGTGACACTGGCGCAGAGGGGCGAAGTGGCACCGTCACGAGCGTCAAAGCGACGCCAAGACTGGCTTCCGCGGCACAAAAGCCTGGCACCGTTCTGTCCATGCACCCCGCCTTGTTGTCAGCACCGACTTCACCGGTGCCGCAGTCACCATCCAGCGCTCGAGAGCTGTCGGAACCACGTTTTCTCATCTCCACACCTGCTAGTCCACTACCTATGGTGCCTCCTCCAGCAAGGACTTCCACACTACCAACCAAAGCTCAGAGGAAGGCTCGGCACGTGTGCACACCAACACCAAGGCTGTGTTTTCCCTGGAACCTTCCCCTTCACCGCACCGTCACTCGCATAGACATGACCACGGACGTTTTAGATCACCTTCAAGGCACTATTGGAGATCCCCACGTCGGTCTCCAACGCCTTCACATTATCACCGGTCATATCACTTTTGCTCACCACCGCGCTACACAATGCGATCAAGATCTCCAGGGTTCCCAGCTCATTCAGACTACCCCCATTACAGGAGTGTGAGTTCCTATTCTCCTGGGCATTCCCCACATGCTTACATCATTGTAGTCGCTACACTACCGTGAACTCCCACGCTCCTGCAGCGTACTTCGTTCACCATCCATATCACCAGAGCGTGTTTGGTCACAGTCTCTACATATCTCAACCCAGGACACCCTACCTCCCGCGCAGGCTCCTCCAACTCTCACAGGTGATGCGCCCTCGACTTCCACCCAACATGTAAGGGATAATAATCAGTCTTCCACCTGTGAGGAGCAGCATATGGACTCCCCGACTGAACAATCATCCTCTTCACCAGATGACACAGTCTTCCAAGGCGACTCTTCTCCTGTAGATGGTTATAAACAGTATCAGGAGCTTTTTAAAAGAGTAGCTCGCTCTTAGGATCTACGTACCACCGATGTACTCTCTCCTGAGAAATCTACAGCAGTCACAAAAATCAAAGTTGGCTCTCCCCTTTGATGAAGTCATTCTCGAAATAGCCAATGATATATGGCAAACCCCAGCTTCCATGCCACCCACAAATAAGCATACCGTCACAGCCAAGGAGACGGAGTTCCTATTTACGCATCCCCAACCCAACTCCATTGTTATGGATGCCGTACAACAAAAATCAAAGACAGCACATGGCAGGAATTCTGCGCCTGATAAGGAAGCAAAATGGCTGGATTTGCTGGGTATAGAAGGGTCTATTCTTCAGCCACAGCAACAGTCAGGATGGCTAATTACTCAGCACAACTCGCAAATCATGACTTTGACAATTATTCCAAGCCGGCCCGCCTCATGGAATACTTACCCGAACCTAAGAAACAAGTCCTGAAGGCTGTAGTACAGGAGGGTTACACAGCAGCCCACGCAGTACTTCAAATTGCCCTTGATATCACTGACACGGTCTCCCGGACCACAGCAACTTCAGTGGTCATGCGCCATGCTTCGTGGCTTCACTTGGCTTCCGTACCAAAGGACCTCCAGCCCAAAGTGCAACAAGAGGTCTCATGCCTACTTACCATCGGAGCAGTGGTTCCGTACCAATTCAGAGGGAGAGGCTTCTATTCCCGGAACTTCCTCACACAAAAGTAGTCTGGAGGATGGAGGCCTATTCTGGACCTCCGCGGACTCAACCGCCACTTTCAAAAACTAAAATCCAAGATAGTTACTTTAACCTCTATCATTCCAGCTCTGAACGAAGGGGAATGGTTCGTGTCTCTCAACCTCCAGGATGCATATTTTCATGTGACGGTGCACCCGGCCCACGGGAGATTCCTACATTTCATACTTGGCGACGAGCAGTATCAGTACACAGTGCTACCATTTGGCCATTTGGCAGCACCAAGAGTGTTCTCCAAAACCCTAGCCATCGTAGCCGCTTACCTCCAACGTTCTGACATCACAATATTTCCTTACTTGGATGATCATCTGAAGGTGCCTACTGAAGACGACGCTCGCGTTGCGGTCATCACAGCCAGGGAGACATTCGAAGCTCTGGGCCTCATTATCAACATACTGAAGTCTTCCTTGACTCCTTCCCAGTCTCTTGAATTCATCGGGGCGAGACTGGATTCCACGACCGCTACCATGTACTTACCTCTTGACAGATCCCACACTATCCAAGACTTAGGGAGTATTCTACTCACTACTCCCAAAACTTCTATACTCACATGCCTAAAGCTCCTCAGACACATGGCAGTCGCTACTTACATCGTCCCCCATGCACACCTTCACTTCAGATGCTTTCAGCATTGGATGTTCACCATTTATACACCAGGCACGCAGATACTCGCAAGCTTGTTGTCCCCAAGCATGTGAGAGAGTCCTTGCAATGGTGGCTCAATCCAGGGAATACTTTAGTGAGCGTCCCCTTTCATGCCAAGAGGCCAACTGTCCAAATCACTATGGACGCATTCCTCGTAGGCTGGGGAGCCCATATGTATCACCACCAGATCCAGGGGCTACGGACACATCACGAGTCCCTCCTTCACATAAACTTTTTGGAGTTACGGGCAGTATTCAATGCATGCAAACATTTCCTACATATGATACAGAAAACCATGGTGCAGATCCTCACTGCACCTTCTACTATATCAACCGGCAAGGGGGTGCCAGATCCCGATCCCTCTATGCTGAATCCATTCGCCTGTGGAATTGGGCTATCTGCCGTGGAATCACACTCACTGCCGCATACCTCCCCGGCAAGAGCAATATCCTCGCAGATGCTCTGAGCAGGACCTTTCATTTCCAACACGAGTGGGAACTGCTCGACAAAGTAGTCTGCAGCCTCTTCGAGATCTGGGGATATCCCACCATAGACAACAGGAAGTGCCATCTTTACCGCTCAAGAGTGGGTGACTACGCACTCTTATCGATTGAGGAGTGCACCGCTTGCTGTACGCTTTTCCTCCGATCCCGCTCATCCCACAGGTGGTGGAGAAAATAGCTATGGATGGGGCGACGGTGATAATGATAGCACCATTTTGGCCACGGCAAACCTGGTTGACACAGCTAATGCGGATGTCGGCATCTCAACCACGACAACTGCCACAGTCGCGCAACTTGCTGTCACAACAGCACGGGATGCTCCTTCACCCACACATCAATCGGTTACACCTGACGGCTTGGTTCCTAACTGGCTACAAGGTCCAGAGTTAACCTGTTCCCAGGCAGTCAAAGACGTCCTTATGCATAGTAGGTGACAAACCAAACAAAAGACGTACCTTCATAAATGGCGTCGTTTTTAGTCCTGGTGTGAGGCAAAAGATATCGATCCCCTATATGTAACCATACACCTAATTTTTGATTTTATTCTCTACCTAAAATCAGAAAACCTAGCTATGTCTTCACTTAGGATACACTTGGCAGCAATTTCCATCCCCCCATTGATGGCAGCTCAGTCTTCACTCATCCGCTCGCCAAAAGGTTCTTGAAAGGTATTGCAAATCTCTATCCTCCATGCAATCTGTTTCTGGAACCTTGGGACCTAGGCCTAGTCCTGGGCATGCTCACTTGCCCACCGTTTGAACCATTATTGACTTGCGGTCTGCAGACTCTCACCATGAAAGTGACATTTCTGCTTGCCATCACATCCGCACGTCATGTGAGCGAGCTGGTGGCACTTTTGGCGTATCCTCCCTATATGTTATTTACTGAACGGGGAGTGACACTGCATAGTCACCCAGCATTTCTGCCTAAGATCAATTCGTCATTCCACATAAATGAACCTATTACACTTCCTACCTTCTACCCAAGACCACACTCCACTTTAGAGGACACACGTCTACATACACTGGAGGTCAGAAGAGCACTTGCCTTTTACCTGAATAGGATGTGTCCCTTTTGAAAATCACAGTGTCTTACTGTCCATGGAGGACCGTTCTAAGGGCCAGCAACTTTCTTTGCAATGTATCTCGTCTCACATCGTTGCCTGCATCACTCACTGCTACTCTCTGCGTAACAAGTCATTGCCCTGCAAACCAAGGGCTCATTCAGCTAGAAGCATGGCTACCTCTACAGCTTTTATTAAGGGCGTACCGCTGAGTGACATATGCCACGCGGCTACCTGGTCCTCTACATCGACCTTCGCCAAGCATTACGCCCTTGCAAACATCCTACCTACTGCCAGTGGCAATGGCTCACGCAGTGCTTTCCTCCGTGCACAGACCATAGGGCCGAAGCACAATACTAACACTGAACTACTACTTCATACTCACCGTTGGTGGAGCACCCAGGGGGACGCTACTCGAAGAAGAAGAAGAAGAAGAAGAAGAAAGAGTTACTCGCCTGTGCAGTAACATCTGTTCTTCGAGATGTGTGTCCCCATGGGTGCTCCACAACCCACCTTCCTCCCTGCTTGGAACTATTGTCCTTCTATTTTTCAGAGGTTCCGGCTAGGAGGAACTGGCGGGACGGACCGCGCAACGCAGAAAAGGCACGAACAGCGCAAGATGGCTTCTGCATATGTGCGGTCCACCAGGGGCTACTGCTAAAGAAAACTCTCCGAGCTGCGGCGCCGGGACAAGCCCGACACCTTTGGTGGAGCACCCATGCGGACACACATCTCGAAGAATAGCTGTTACTGCACAGGTGAGTAACTGTTTCTTCTTCTTTCTCTTTTCTTTTTATTAACCTGGTATAGGTTAATTTTTGTGTCCTGGTTTTTACTTTAGGGGTGAGATTTCCCAAGTGATCTCTCCCCTGATTTTTCTTATCATTACTTGGGTGGTGGCAGCAGATTTTATCCCCAAAATCTAGATATTTTCTTTTAAAGATTTTCGGGGGGAGAGGGGGAGTTTATACCAAAGCTGGAAAGATAAGGTTTTGGGGTACTTTTGCGGGTCCCCACTTCTGCATTTATCGTGCCAGAGTGGGGAAGAAGCCTTGACATCCTTCCTTTGTGAGACTAATTTTAATGTTGGTTAGTTAGAACAATAATCCAAGGTTGCAATTAATATTTTCCTCTTTTCAGTTTAGATCTACATACTAAATTACCTTTTTTTACCTACATACTACATACTAAATTAAGCTTAGTTGTTTAGTCAGTTGTTCCGTCTGAAATACACCTACATAATCATTCTTTCTAATACAATTTGTAGAGTTTAATAGTTCCTGTATAACCAATTATTCATTTTCTTTTTTGGAGTCTGCTTGTTGATAGTCCTTAAGAAGGATCTGATCCTGCAAACCGTTACACACACAATTATCAAACTTATGGTTCCAGTGGGTTAAACAGAATAGCTCCCAAGCATTAGATCAGTGTTTCCCAATTTTATTTGGCCATGGAACTCTTTTCAACTCAGAATAATTTTGTGGAACCCCTGACTGACTGTGTGCACAGCGCTAAGTAGTGACATCATCGTACCCACTCTCTGGCTGAGCTAGCATTACACAGGGACACTTATTGTGGCAAACACAAATGAAAATTGCTTGGCGACCTGTTATCCTTTGGCTAATTTGAAGCCGCAGGAGAGGAACAGCCCAGGAGATCCCTCGGAGGCTGGTTGAGAGCGATGGAGTTTAGTTCACCTTCTGTGAAGCCTCCGTCCACGTCGTCTCTTCCTGCTCTTCGGATGCAGCTGGAACCGGCGATTGATGCTAGACTCTCTATCCTACACTTAACCTATCCTAAAATAAAACCTTAACTAATCCCAACGCGCCCGACGAACAGACTCGACGACGGCCGACATGCGTGGACCGATGCGAGCCTGACGAACATACACGACGACGAGATCTACCCTAACTAAAATTTAAACTAACTAACCTAGCCTGTAGGAAGGGAGGGTAAACCTTCTGTTTACCTCCACATCAAAAGATTTCTAGACCTCTCTCATTCCTTTAGCTAAACATAGGACCAAGACTTTAGACCTCACACACACTCTTTAAGCTAGATCTATGACTAAGCCCGACGCCCCGACGCAACACCAGAAACGGGCGTTGCTCGGTCTTATAAAGACTAGGCTTATTCATGCAGGCTCAGGTTTAAAATGATTGGCCATAGATTTAAAAGGATTCGTTCCTTAGCAATAACACAAGAATATTCATATCAACGCTCGATTGTTTTACATATTGTGGTGGGGGGGGCCCCCCAC